CCTTTGGCTAATTGATCAGCAATTTTATTAAACAATGTTGTTGGTGAAGTATCTGTAGCATGAGCATTAACATGAGTAACATATATTTTTATTTTTTTGGATAACTCATAAATCTTATTCCAGTATTCTTTTGACCATATATCTCTACCGTTAATTTGCCAATCAGATTCCTTCCATTTTCCTGACCATAAAATAAGACCATTGCAGACAGCCCAAGAGTCTGTGTAAATATACACTTTAGATTTAAGTTTATCAACTGAGTCTTTGATAGCTAAGTATGCTGCAATAAGTTCTGCATGTTGAGCAGATTTGGACTCACCGTTAGCTGTCAGAGCTTGACGTGTCGCGGGGTTGAAAGCTGCTGCTTGCCAGCTGTGGCGGTCACCAGATACGGAGGCTGATCCGTCTGTAAACCAGGCATTTTTTATGGCAGGGGAATATTTCGGACCCTGCACCCCTATAGGCTTTGGTATAGGGACAAACTTGTTTGCACAGGTAGGTGGCTCTACCTCAAGTTTGTTAACCTCCTCGGTGAGGAGGGCCGGTCCTCCAGTGCCGCTAGTGCTACGCGTGTTTATGTACCACTTCCACGCAAGCACTTTTTCTTCAATTTGGCTACCTGCCAATTCTTCCGCCGACATGTTCAACCATGCCTTTAAGGGCAAGGTGCTTCTAACAGTAATGGGTTGTAGTCCAGTAAGGGGCTCAGTATGCAATAATGCAGCGTACAATGTCCAAATTAGTTTCTCAAAATATGAATATTTAAAATGAGAGTATGGAAATTTCTTGGACCAAAAGCCAACTGGAATTAACTTATGGTCAGAGGGACCTTTTTTGTATAATCCCCAATTGCCATGATCAGAAATAAATGTGATGTCTAAGACAATTTTATCTCCTGGATTAATATGTTGTAGTGTGGAAAATAAATGTATATATTGTTTTAATTGTTGAAAGGCCTGTTCTTGTTCTTCCTGCCAAGTGAAATCAACTGCTTTTCTAGTTACCTTATAAATAGGTTTAGCTACATCTGCTAGATAAGGTATATGTTGTTTCCAAAACATAAAAAGTCCCATTAGTTGTTGTGCTTCTTTTTTATTAGTGGGGCTTTTAAGTGAATCTATTTTATTGATGACTTTATTAGGGATAGATCTACCTACAGAGTTCCAATTAATACCTAAGAATGTTGCAGAGGTGTCTGGCTGTTGTATTTTATCAGGATTTATTGTCCAACCTTGGCTTTGCAAATGGGCCACCAGAGACTGTAAATCTTGTGTAAGCACATTAATATCATCATGGTATAGAATGACATCATCAATATATTGTAAGATTTTGGAAGAATAAGCTTTGGAAGAATATATGATGCTAATAAGGTGTGTGCAATTACTGGTGAGTTTTTATATCCTTGTGGTAGCCTTTTAAATTGATACTGTTTGCCTTGCCAGGAAAATGTGGTGTATTGTCTAGAATTTTCATGTAAGGGAACTGCAAAGAACATATCAGAAAGATCAATAGTAGCCATAAATTTGGGTGAATCTCCCTGAATTAAATTAATAATTTCTGCAGCATTTGGAAGAATACCTGGGACTGTTGGTGAGACTTTGTTTAAATTTCTATAGTCCACCGTAATACGGTATGTGCCATTAGGTTTTTTAACTGGCCATATAGGACTATTATAAATATGAGATCTGCCTAATTCAATAATGTCCTCTTTTAACAATTTTTCAATTGCAGTGGTTACATCAGCATGGCCCCCTTTAAGAGGGTATTGAGGAGTGAAAGATGGTTGAGTAGGTGTAGGTAATATAATTGGTGGTATATTAATTGCAGTGAGATTAGAAAAGAATTTTGTTGCAGATAGAGATTTGGTATAGGAATTATAAACTAAAGGAATGAGATCCATACCAATAAGGTTTGGAACATTGGGTGCAACATATAATACTGCAGAGAGTTGTCTATCTCTATATAGTATAGTGCAAGAAACTGGTTTGGCAGTAATTGAGTGTCCAGTAACTCCCTCTATAGTTACATTATTGGAGTTATCTGTAATATGATGATGGTTAGAAGATAAAGAAATTTGAGAGCCTGTGTCAAGCAAGAATGTAGTAGGGATTATTTTTCCAGAAGAAATTTTAACATTCAAGGTAATATATGGTCTGTTATCATATTTTTTGTAGAAAATGTCTTTTAAAGTGAGGGTAGGGAGTTTAAAATTAACTTTTAATTGCGTCTCCGGCCCCCGCTCCATTGTGTGAAATGTGGTCGGGGGCCCTGGGAGTTTCCCTGGCCAATTTGAGAAGGATTGTTTTGGGGTTTTCTGAAGGGATTGTTTTGTGTGTAAGTAAGGTTAGGAGTTCTGTCATATTCTCTTTTGAAAGGGTTATTACTGTATTTCCTTTGAACAGGATTTTGGGGTGGGCCTCTTTTGAAAAAAGGATTATTATTCTTCCAATAGGGTTTTTGTTGTTTTAAGTATGTCTTATTTGGTTTCATCTGCCTATTGGTTTGTGGGTACATATTTTGAGTTCCTCTAATATTATAATTTGGTTGCCTTCCTGTAAAAAATGAGTATGAATTTTTGTTGTCAAGTTCTGAAGGCTTTGCCTGAAAAGTATACTTTTTGTCAGAAATTAAGTCCTCATGAAGAATAAGCTTTTGCTTAATCTCTTCTGGAGTAGAGGCTCCAGCTAATAAATTTTGCATTTGTATTTTATAGCCCTCTGGGGCATTTCTAATTAGGCATCTAATAATACCATCTACGTTCTTACAATTCCAAGGATTGTCTACATCCTCATAGATGCCATTTAATAATGTAAGTTTTCTTAATTGGTGTTGTAATTGGCCTAAATTGTGCCATTGCTTGGAAAATTGAGAAGATGAAAAATCAATATGTGGGAAGGCCCTTTTCCAAGCTTTTGAAATCCAGTGCCACAAAGATGCAACTGCATTTCTTCCTTGTCTTTCAATATCATTAGTTAATTGCTGTTTTAGTTTGGGTAATTCTATTGCATCAATTACTTGTGTTAGTTCATCAGCACTAAGTAGGGTAGTGTTTCCTCCCTTTTCAAAAATTTGGATTAGCCAATCAACATCTGATTTGTCTCCTTTAATTAGTAATGATCTTAAGTCAGACAATTCCTGTCTAGTAAATGTTGTAAATTCAACTGTTTCTCCTTCAACTTCCTCTGTATCTTTCTTTAGAATCTTTTTTCTAACTACGGCCGGCTGAGCAGAATATTTAGATATAACTTTTCTAGCTAGAGTTTTTCCTAAATCATTATCTTCCTGCAGGTTATGTATGGTATGTAATAAAATAGGAACTATTTCTTCAGGTTTTGCCCTTTCCACGACTGGTATTAAGGTGGTAGGGTCATTTGTGACATCCTTAGGTAGCCTAGGGGTGTGTTTTAATTTACATTTAGTTTTCAAAGAATCCTCTAGGGTGCGCCATTTACTTTCTGCTGGAATATTAGCTAGAGGATTAGATTGTGTATTAAATTTCCTCCAAAAATATTTTAATTTTTCCATTCTAGATTTTAATAGCCTTGAAGGCAGTCCGGACAAATATTTATTCTTGGGCCAAATCTACCAAAGGGATAGATGAAACAGTGGGAAGGTTCCCTTTGAATTACAGAAATGTTAGTATCACACAGAAAAGAATGAGCCCTTTTAATAGTCTTAAGAATTTGTGCTAGCACTTTAAAACAGAAGTATTTAACAATAGTTTTTAATTTTTGCTCTGCCATATATATAACATTAATATAATATTCATATATTATTCTGTGTGATCAATTTAGGAGAAATTCTCTGCTGAGAGTACTTCAGTCCTGTTTATGCCACAGGTGTGTTTTCCTACGTAAGCAACCGGTTGGTATAATCCGCCAACTCGGACCCCTCGATCAGAGTTCCCCAGATCGAAACTTGTTTTCAAGTGCCTTCCTCGGAGCTGCCTCCACAGCTCACTCCTCCTACGTAAACAGCCGGTTGGTATAATCCGCCAACTCGGACCCTTGTGAGGCAGGTAACCTGCTAGGACCCTCAGGCATTCACCAGTCGGGAGTCAGGCACCCCTGGAGTGCTCACAAGGTGGACGGCTTACGTTTTAAAGTAGGCAAGGAGTTTTCCCGGACTAACACTGATACAAGTTCTGTCTGGTTTACTTCCAATTTTGGGTGGACGGTTTAAGCTTTAAAGTAGGCAAAAACACTTACTTCAGAGTCTCAGCTGGAGTTCCCACTTTCTCAGTGCCAAATTATAGTCTCGCTGTGCTCGAGAAAATTTTGTTTAGATTTTTTTTTTTTTTGGTACTTCACCCCCTTAGAAAAATCAATTTTAATTACACGTGCCGACTACGCCAAATGTTCCAATTATCTATAGGAACGTAAGCACAGGTGACCCAAAGCGTTTCATTTGGATATACCAATACAAACATCAGAGGGTACTTACTATTAATTAATATGGCCGAGCTTAACCAAAAACTAAGGAGAGAGAGAGAGAGACAGGAGATAATGCAAGAAATCACACAGGTTTATTTACCAGAGAGCTGATGGGTTTCAGTCCTTGGCAGGCCACCCGGAGACACTCGCCGACAGAGGAGACACACGGAGGTCGTCAAAAATACGCTGCAGCAATGAGCTCGGTCTCTTGACTCAAAGAGAGGCGCCTCTGGCAGTTTGGGCTCAGGCAGAGCAAGAATGGCAGTTTCACAGTTCGGCAGTTTCCAGGGGGGAGGAGAGCGTCCTGTCTGTGGAGGGCAGACAAGCGTCTGAACCTCAGCAGATTTGCTCTCCTTAAATCCTTGAAGCTGGGCGTCTTCAGTGTCTCATATCGGGTGCCATACACGGGTGCTGCCCTGTTATCTAGGTGTACACTCAGGCAGGAAAGTTGTGACCATGTTCACAGCTTATTAATCATACATACATCTTAATTTTGGAGTTGTTTACAAGTTTTGGTACATACATCTTAATTTTGGAGTTGTTTACAAGTTTTGGTCTAAGAATAAAATGGGGTCTACTTATGCTAACTTATGCTAATACAAAGTGAGTTTACTTTATGCTAACTAAACTTATTACTATAACAGGCTTCTTCAGTGTCTCTTGCCAGTGTGCTCCGGTGGCCTTCTGGGCTTGTCAGGATGCACACGCAGGGGGTTGCAAGTTTCTTATCAGGAGTTAACATGCTGGGAGTTATTGGTCAGGAGTTAGCTTGCAGGGCATTACAAGTTACTTATCAGGGTCTCACACACACACACACACACAAGTTAAGTTTCACTTCTAAGTAAAGTTTAAAATTCACTCTAATAAAAAAAATGAAATTTGATTATACTATCTTATACTAACTAAACTTATTACTGTAACAGCAAGTCTGCACCCTGGGGTACCCAAACTTGTTCTGCTCAGGCACCGGGCTTCCTGCTGCTTGGCCAGACAGACCGAGGCTCAAATGCCACCCTTTACTCTTAATCCAGTCATTTATGCTCATTGAACCTCCGTGTCCTCTATAAAACAAAGGGTAACACCTAACTCACCAGAATCTAGTGAGGAATATGAGGGCCTGCAGCAAAGAGCACAGCACACAGTAGGTGCTCAGCACTGTTACTGCTTGGGCTCTTGAGGCCCGCCTACCTTTGGGGGTGCAGGATCTGCTTCTCTATTACCACTCGCTTTTGTCATGTTGATTCAGGCTGTGTTGGGGTGCCTGGTCCCTGGAGCTGGTAAGCGCTGTCCTCTCCTGCATGAGTTTCCTTTCTTCCCCAGTGCCTTGAACAGCTGAGGGAATGTTCTGCATCACTAAAGAGGAAAAAGCTCATTCACAAAGAGTGTTTGAAATTATATCCCTGCCTTTTCAGCACAGCATGTCACATAAAAGCAAGTAGTTATGGAAAGACAAACCCACTCGGGCACCCTGATGTCTTCAGCTGCTGTCCTTGCCACCACACCTGTCTCCGTTAGGCACCCCCTTGGCCTTTTCCACTACAGGAAGAACTCATTGCCTTTGTGGTGGTTGCTATTAGGCCAACAGTTTGCTCTCTAACATACAGATCTGTTGCTTTGCTTCTTCCTACAACTTGTCCCACCAGCCTTTTGGTGACTGATTTGTTTTTGAATTTGTCTGACATTATCCCTTGGAGTTCAGCTTCAAAAGACAAAGGTGAGGGACTGACAATTGCACCTAAACCCAGATTACCCAAACCATCAAAAGTCTTGCCTTCTGTCTGACACGGTGTTTGGAAATGTTGAGGTGAGAGAAATCAGCTCCCAGAGCTGGTGGACCTATGGCATTGAGTCTTGTCACTAGTACTTGTTGCTGCCTAAAAGATTCAGTATTTTATTCCAAAACCAAACTACTAATTGTATTTTCTTATTACAAAAATTTAAAAAATGCCCTAGCCGGTTTTGCTCAGTGGTTAGAATGTTGGCCTGTGGACTGAAGGGTCCCAGGTTTAATTCTGGTCAAGGGCACAAGTCCAGGTTGTGGGCTCGCTCCCCAGGGGGTGCTGATCAATGATTCTCTCTCATCATTGATGTTTCTATCTTTCTCTCTCTCCCTCTCCCTTCCTCTCTGAAATCACATATATAATCTTTTTAAAATGAGCAGTTAACTCCAAGAGGATCAGGTACTGGCCTTCTTGGGCACCGATGATACATATTTATTTATTTTTTTAAGTTGTTTTAAAAAGATAACATGATGAGCTCACAGTTGCTTTATGACTTTGTCAATAACACAGATGATTCCATCCTTTTATATTAGAAGAAGAATATTTTCAAGAACTTGGGGAAGGTACCATGAACTGCATTCATGGCTTTCTTCTGTTCATCTTCTTAGCGTAGCCAGTTCTTAACCTGGGAAAATAAAAAGATATGATACGCTAGCTGGCCCTGAAAACCCATGGTTCAATGTTAGAGTGTGAAGCGGTCTTCGTGATGGTCCAGAGCAGCCGTGGGCAAACTACGGCCCGCGGGCCGGATCCGGCCCGTTTGAAATGAATAAAACTAAAAAAAGACCGTACCCTTTTATGTAATGATGTTTACTTTGAATTTATATTAGTTCACACAAACACTCCATCCAGGCTTTAGTTCCGGCCCTCCGGTCCAGTTTAAGAACCCATTGTGGCCCTCGAGTCAAAAAGTTTGCCCACCCCTGGTCCAGAGCCATCCCTCCGGTCTTTAAGTGAGGCGGTAAGCAGGCTTCAGGACCTAGTATACGGATGGCTGACCCATGGTCCAGCATAGCCCACATGGGGCAGCTTAGTCTCCCCAAACTGGGAAGGGGAGCCAGCCCAGCTTTTCTTCTTTGAGCACTCAGCACTTGTATTTGCATTTAAGAAAAAAGGATGGTGTTTTGACTAATTTGGCTGTGGTTTGCTGGTATTCAGCATGACACTTGGTTTCTTTCTTGCAGATGATTCAGTGTGGCTCTGAGAATGGTAGGTGACTGGGGAATGGGTATTTGGGGCTTTACATTGAAATTGAAAACACAGTTGGACTTCTATGGGGCCCGAATCCAGGCAGTGGGTCATCGGAGGCCAGGCTTAGGGTGAACTATTGCTTTGTTAGCTGAAGCACATGCAGCCTCTCTCAGAGCTCCCAGTGTTTCAGATGGGCGGGGGTGGGGGGGGGAAGTAGCGGGGAGGTGGCGCATCTCGGCCAGAAAGACAGCAAGAGGGGACAGGCAGGCCAGGAATGGCTGTGCAAGGTAGAAAGTGAGGTCTGCCACTCCTGGGAGGGAGAGCAAGTGCTGTGGGAGGGCGGTCACTTACACTTAGAAACAGGAAGTGAGTATTTTAGAGAAGGAGTGTTTGAGAGTGTAGCATTTGAAGACTGGGTGGATTTCTGTCCAAGAAATGTGGATGAAGAGGGTGAGCTGGGGGAGAGATGGTACCAGCAAAGACTAGAAAGTGGGAAGTGTGTGGGCCAGCTGAATGGAGTCCAGGCTGAGGCATGGGGAAGACAAGACTGATTCTAATAAACATGTCAAATACACTAAATACATACACACACAGACACACAGAGGCACCTAGAGTGGTCCCAAGTGGTCTGTAGGTTGGAGCCAGGAGGTTGTCAGTTAACACTGAAAAATTTCAGGCTGCTTCAGCAGGGAGAAGCGATGGACTGTGAATGAGGGTTGGATCAGGGAGAGTCACTTAGAGGAGATGGCGTTGAATTGGGCAAGGGAGGGGTGTGTCATGGGCAGTCTCACCTCCTCCCAGGACCTTCTCCAGAGTGGCTGGTCAGTCACACTCTGACCCCAGGAGACTTGAGGGACCTTCGAGTGGAACCTGTTGTAACGAAAAGCTCTTCAATTTTGATGAACATAAGCTGGATACTCCGAGCAGATGGTAAGTTTGCATCAATCAAAGTTAAGGTAGAAATGTGCAGATTATGTGATCCTTTCATTTTAATCCTATACATATACCCAGAAAAATATATACATACATGCACCCAAAACTACATACTAGAATGTTCATAGTAGCAGTATTCATAACAGCCAAAAGATGGAAATGCCTGACTAGAATTGTAATCACAGATTGGAATCCAATAGAGCAATGAGCACGAACAAGCTGTGACAATACACAATGTGGATGAATCTCACAAATCCAAGAAGCCAGATTCAAAAGCGTTTCTACATTCATATCCGCATACATGCCTATGGTCGTGTGTACCATATGATTCCATAAATAAAAATGCTAAACAAACAAAACTAAGGCAACCAGTTAGGAGTCAGGATAGTGGTTATGATGGGGTGGGAGTGACTGAAAGGAAGCAGGGGGGACTCTCCTGGGGAGTTTCCGACCTGGGTACTGGCTACCTGAGTGTGAACGCTCATTAGGTGGAGGGAGCCCTTCTGATCTGTGTGCTTCTCGGTGTGTAATGTCACACCTGAAGGAAGAAGACAAGTTGAGGACAGAGATGAATCCCCCAAGTTTAGGAAAAGTACCTCTTGGGTGGTGAGCATACAATATACAGCTGATGTATTACAGAATTGTACACTTGAAACCTAAATCATTTTATTAACAAATGTCACCCCAATGAATTCAACGAAAATTTAAGAGGGGAAAAAGGAAAAGCACTGGCTTAGATGATGTTCCCACTTCTCAGTAGCTTGTGAAAGTCCTGGCAGCCCCCCAAGGCAGCTTGTGATGAGCCAATTCCGGGGCCCTAAAGTCCACATCTGTGGTTTCCACCCTAAATTCAGTTAAATTCCATTTGGTCAGGAATCTGGGAGTGCCAGGCACAGAGAGGTGAGTCAGCTACGGACAGGGGCACAGGGACAGTGCTCGGAATCCCAGAAGGAGCTGTGAGTCGATGGGGGCAGGGAAGAGAGGAGAGGGCCCTGGTGAGGTCACTTTAAATTAGATGTTGCAATAACACGATTGGCCCCATACTTAGCAGAGTGAGCTCTTGTATCTGTCAGCTGTTGTTACAGATATAAGTTCGGCCTTGAGGGAGCAAGCCCTGGACAGGCAGATAGAAGAAAAGAGCACTCCAGGAAGAAGACTCAGCATGAATGAAAGTGCAGTCAGAGCAGGCATGGTTTGGTGATGACATTCTGGAAGGTTCTTACTTCTGAGAAGACTCAGAATATGCAAAGCTAGAGTCACCTTTGCAGGTGTCCTGTGAAATTCAGGCTTAGCTGTGATGAGGAGAACATTTGGGCTTTGGAATCTGAATCCATATTCTACCCAATGAGCTTTGTGAGCTTAGGCAAATCTCCCTGAAATTCCCTAAACGTCATACACCCCATCAGTGAGCTGAGGACAACAATGGTGTTTACCTTTTAGGTCTGTTGTATGAAATGAGATGAGGCATGTACACTCTTAGCAGCAAGCCGGCCACATAATGGGTGCAAAATAACCAGCTGCTCTCGTCTCTCTCATTAGCCAGCATCCGCTTTCTGAAGGCCACCAAGATCTGTGTGTCAGGCAAAAGCAACGTCCAGTCCTACAGCTGCGTGAGGTGCAATTACACAGAGGCCTTCCAGACTCAGACCAGACCCTCTGGCGGCAAAGTAAGCCCTTGGAGAAACTTGTCCTTAAAACTAGGAAGGCCCTTTGCTAGGGGATATGGATGGAATGCTGCACACACAGGCTGGTGAGCACCTGCAACTTCCAGCCTGGAGCACGCTGTCTGGGTTCAAAGCCCGTTTTTGTGTGCCTTGGGAAAGTCAGCACCTCTCAGCCTCAGTTTCCCCATCAGCAAAGTGAGGGAGAGTGAACTTAATATTTTGGTTCTAAAATTTTACACTTTTCTGCTTCTGTGAGTTACACTGACAAATTGTGTGGGAACCATTCCCTAGGTCAGGGGTGGGGAACCTTTTTTCTGCCAAGAGCCATTTGGGTATTTACATTATTCACAGGCCATATAAAATTACCAAGTTAAAACTTAGCCTGCTGTATTTGGTCAAACATTTAATTAACCCCCAATGCCTTGGCAGGGCCAGATTTCGAGGGCCTTATACGGCCCGCGGCCGGACATTCCCCCCTCCTGCTCTAAGTAGACATCGGCTAGAGACCTAAGTTTCAGCAGTAGGCTAAGGAATGAAACTATGAATGAAAAGGCCACACAAAGGTACTATGTTCCTGCATTGCCATGTTTCAGAAATTTAGGGGTCCTTCCTTTGCCTTTCAGTGGACGTTTTCCTACATTGGTTTCTCTGTGGAGCTGAACACACAATATTTCATTGGGGCCCATAACATCCCCAATGCAAATATGAATGATGACAGCCCCTCATTGTCTGTGAATTTCACCTCACCAGGTAAACTTCCTCCATCTTCTGTTATTCTGTCTTGCTGGGAGGCTTGCTTTGGGGATGTGGCTTGGTATAGGGAGGTCAGGGTACCCTGGACAAGACGTTTGGCCTTACCAAGTCTTGTACTATGGACACCACAGTAACTGCACCTCACAGAGTAGAGGAAGTAAAATTTGGGAAAAGCCCATTTCCGTGTGTCAGGCACTATGCTGAGCACTTGAATGCATCATGTCACATAAGCCTCCAATAATCCTGAGGATGGGATAGCAGCTTTACAGGTGAAGACATTTCTCCAGTAACTTGGCCTGGGTCACACACACAGTAAAAGAGAAGCTGACATTCAAACTCTGGTCCTTGTTGGTCCATGCACTTTAGCCACTCTTTGTCACTGATGCAAAACGTTTGTTCCAGCCCTGACCAGTGTGGCTCAGTTGGTTGGAGCATCATCCCATATATCAAAAGGTCGTAGGTTCAATTCCCAGCCAGAATGTGTGTGGGAGGCAACTGATCAATGTTTCTTGCTCACATCAATCTCTCTCTCTCTCTCTCTCTCTCTCTCTCTCTAATTCTAAAATTTTTTTTAAAAAAGGGTAGATTGATATATTTGAAAATAACAAAAAGTTTGTTCCAGTCTTGGCTTCCTAGCATGCTGTGTTGTTTGAGAGCATAGTGCAGGGTCTCTGAGGATGTACAGCCAGTAGGTGTGTCCCTGAACTGTTGGTGAAGGCAGGTGGCACTGTGTTGAACGTTGGGTTCTTTCCCCTGCTTTACATCATTCCATCAGTCCCAGGGTCACACCTGCAATGTCACACACAGGGCTAGGGTTAGGATGAGACAGGATCATGGGTGAAGGTGCCAGCATGGTGTCTGGCTGCAGCAGTTCCCACAGCACCCCTATCTGGAATGGGTCACCTGTTTTGTACCCCACTCCTGCTCTGTCTCAGGTGAATTTCCAAATGGGCAATTTCCAATCGTTGTTTTTTTGAGACTGTGGTCCAGGGTTTTCTTGGTGCTACACCTTACTACATAGCAGTTTCCAGCTTTCTTGATGAGAACAAACCTCATCTTAAACAATATAAATGTGTTTGTGTTGGAATGATTTTAAATTTATAGAAAAGTTGAAAAGATAGTTTGAAGAGTTTCCATATACCCTTTAATGTTTCCCTTATCATTAACATCTCACATTACCATGGGACATAGGTCACAACTAATAAACCAACGTTTGTACATTTCTATTAACTAAGCTCCAGACTTTATTTGGATTTTGCCTGCTTTTCCATGAATGTCCTCTTGCTCTCCTCTGGTCTGTGACAGCTTCTTAGTCTTTGTTCCTCATGGCCTTAACAGTCTTGAGGAGTGCTGGTCAGGCGTCCGTATAATGTCCCCCATCTGAGTATACTTCAGGGGTGAGGCACCCTTCTCATGGCACCCCATCAGGGGTAGGTGGCATCCACACATCATTGGTAGTGTTCACCTTTATCACTTGGTTAAGTGGCACCTGCCAGTCTTCTCCATGTAAATCCACTGTTTCCCCTTCCCAAGTCTAGTTTTGGGAAACAAGTCACTAAGTCTCCCCCACTTGGGATGGGAGTGTGTTATAGATTAAGCTCCACCACCTGGTAGGGGCAGTATTTACACAAGTTACCCAACCTCATTTTAAAGGCTGGTTTGAATCTTCTCGGGGGATCATAGATCCTGTTGTGATAACGGCTGCATTTAAGTTAGACTCTGGTTATCATTTCACGGGTAGATAATCTTCTGTTCAACAGTAAAATGTTCGTGTCCCACTTAAATCTGCTATCTTACCTCACATCTTGAATGTTCTGGCAATTCGTATGGGGTGTGGTGAGCATATATGTGTGTGTACTTGTTGGCAAGGGGGTGGAACACAGATACCTTTTCTAAAATGTAAAAAGTTTCATTCAAATTTCCAGGCTGCCTAGACCATCTAATGAAATACAAAACCCAGTGCATCCAGGCAGGTAAGTGAATACAGCACTTGCTTTTGTTATTTGAAGGAACTCGTAACTTGAGCCAACAAGCTCAGCCCATCTTCCATGAGAAACGGAGGCGAGGGCAGGGGACTATGTATCCAAGCTGCTCAGGCAGTGAAGGCTGACCCGCCAGGGCTTTGCCCACTGAATCCCGCAGCCAGTGTGTCCAGGGAAGGGCAGACCCGAGTGGGTTTATGTAGTAAGCAAGTCACAGAACCATGCCACACCCTGGTGGCTGAACCACATTTTAGCTCTAACCACATATGGTGGTGCTGATCGAAGGCCCTTCCTGATTGGAGAGGAGTCTGTAAGCCCTTCCACTTGCTCGGGCACCTGTATCTCTGACCTGTGGCCGTGGGGCCCTGGGAACCTTCTATGTGGATTAGCAAACATTCCTGGTACGAGTACTAGCTTAAGCAGTGACCTGAAAGCATGTTCTCAACCTGTGTCCTCACACGGGTCACCTCTTACATGCGAGGCCACTAGAACCTGTCCCTACCCTTTCAATTTTGAAATCAGCCCCTTCAGGACAAACAGTCCCAAGTGTCCAATTTCCAAAGATTGCAGGACTTGTTTAAATTTCTGGGTAATGTAGTGTGAGGATGCTCAAGAGGCTAGTGGTATTTAGCAGAATTGGTCCCTATCTTTTAGGCACCCCCATCCCACAAGGCATCCCTGTGTACCCTGTCAGGCTGAGCGGCACGTGGTCTCCTTGTTAGCAGATGTAGAGGACATTGGGGGTGTGAAGAGGTCTGAGGACCTTCAGCCAGTCCTGGAGCTGCTCCTAAAGACAGCCTGTGCCTGGGCCGGAAGTGGTCTCCTAGATGGGGAAACAATGCATGCTATTATACATCACCTTCCTGGAAATTAACCTCGTGCTGATTTGCAAGTCACATGAGTGAAACAACTATTTTCTTCCCATAGAGTAGACCTGAAAACTTGTATTTGTTTTTGTCAAGCCCTTTTTGGGGACTTAAATGAGGGAAGAGTTTGCAGCTTCATCCATGTGATTCTCTCTCCACTGATAGGAAGTCTGTGGGATCCAAACATCACAGCTTGTAAGAAGGATGAGAAGACGGTAGAAGTGAATTTTACAACCAGTCCCCTTGGAAACAAATACATGGCTATTATCCAAAATAAAAATCTGATTGGGTCTTTGGTTTTGGAGGTACTCTCTCCCTTCCTTTCCTTACCACCACCCCATCCTCAACCCCAGCTTTCCTTACCTTGCTGAAGAGCAATGTGGACACTCTAGGATTCCTTTCTTTTGAGAGACCCCAGGCAGGACTGTTTCCTGTCCAAATGTGGTGGGTGTTTCTTATTGATTCAATAGAGAAAAACAAGTCCCTGGTGCTTCCCTGGAAATGTCCCTGTGAGCCTAAGATGCAACCAAGGTAGAGGGTCCGACGCAGGAAATGAATCCGTGTTCACAGAGTCTGATGCACGGAAGGAGTTTGGGAAGAGTGGTTTCTTCACTGGCCGTCTTTGATCTACTCACTCACATGGCACATCGTTCTTGATTTTGTCTCCCTTCTCTGCACCAGAGCAAACTAACTCACGTGTCGGTCATGGTTCCAGTGACCGAGGAGAGTGAAGGTGCTGTGGTCCAGGTAAAGTTCAGTGATGACTCTGGGAGGGGAAGACTGTTTCTCCTCTGTTATTGGCTTTTGATGAGTCCTTTCAAAGTTGTAGTAGTGAGTTCGCATCCTGTGCATTTCTGCAGCTGTCTCACATCAAGTGATGTTAATGGGAAATCCTTGGCTGGTTTAGGGGTGGGGAGGTCAGGAGGCTGACCTTACAGTTATGGCCCCTTTTGCTTTTATTAGTGGCTGTTGACTTTCCAAAGGATTTTTGTTTTCATTTTCTGTCACAAAGTCTATGAGTAATTCTGAGACAAGAGTACCATTTATTTTCCCTAGCCTGTTTTAACTGCAAAATGAAGTAACAATGTGAAATGCCAAGACTTGGGTTCCTGATTAATGTACGAGCTTTGGAGGGCAACTGCCTGTCCTTACAGGCCTCAGTTTACTCAGGTGGAGGGGAGGAAGTTGGACGAGTAGATGCTCTCCTGTCCCATTCAAATCTGAGTTTATGATGTGGGGCTGTGGAGGGTCTCAGTGGAGCACAGCCACACCCAAGATAGGAGGAGCTTTTGCTTCCCATTCCATGGAACATAAAGGCAGTGCCCTGCCCTGCCAGAGGGAGCAGACGCCTGTCCGCACCCTTTTCCAGGGAACCAGACTTTCCTAGTCCCTTTCTTTCATGAAGTGGAAATTAATAGGAGCCCTGCTGCCGCTTGTTTGAGGAACTATTTGTGTATATATGGGATGTGACCTAACCCACATAGATATGGAAAGTAACATGTTAGCAACATGTACAAAGTTCAGGTTCAGACCCCAGGCGACTTAGAAGGTGCTTCAGTCTTCGGTCACTGGTTTGGAATTTAGGGCTTTGTCACTGAAGTGTGACCAAGGGGAAAATGTCGTATTACAAGGGGTCGGGGAGTGGGGACAGGGTTGAAACCAGAAAAAAAGGGGAGCGAAGTTTTGGTAGAAGTGGGAATCGTGCTGAGATTCTGCTCTGACACATGGTGGTACTTTCTGAGCCTCTCCTTTCCCCTCAGTTGACTCCGTATTTCCGCACCTGTGGCAACGACTGCATCCGTCGCAAAGGAACCGTTGTACTTTGTCCACAAACAGATACGTCCTTCCCTTTGGATAACAGTAAGTGCCCAGTCACTGTCACCGGATGATCAAAGAGGTTCAGGACATGAGGGCCACTGTCACCCCCCCATCAATATGACAGGATGTACATGGGGATGGGACAGAGTCCCTGCCTGTGGATGCTAAACTAGCGGGCAGGGAAAGATGTCAGAGCTGCCCAGAGCCTGCAGTTGGAATAAGAATGAAGGCTTTATTTATAAAATCACCCCAAGTCTTTTATGAAGCAGGATATATACAAGAAGGGGGAAAATAAACAGTGCAAAATGGATGTTCAGAGCCACAAGGATTTGCTGAAAAAAAGTCAAGAGCGTAACAGGACTGAGTGAATGAGAGAACATGCACTTCCCTACATTTATCTTATTAGTCCCAGTGGCCCAGGCCTCGCTGTGGCTGTAACTTGATGGTGTCACATGGCCAACATTTGGATAACAAATTCGGAATACTGGCACCAGAAGACACGCCTCATTGGAACGGAGAGCAGCATGTTCTGGAAAAGGTGCCTCCGGATTTAGAGATGTTAGTGCTTCCATTTACAGATGGACAAATAAGATGTTCTGGAACTAGCCCAAGAATGGAGTCAACACTTGGAAGGTGTTCTTGAAATGCAGCCAAATCAACTGAAGACAACCCAGGTGTTGAACAGTCCTGAATGTGTGGCCGCAGTGACTGTGGGTTCCTGAGCACATCTGTGTGCCTGAGCTTACCTGGTCCTTGGCATTCTGTGAGGGGTGGCAATATCCCCCACATATCCAAGTCTTACAATACAGCCTTTAAAAATGCCATCTCTGTTTACCAGATATTAAGTATCTGTGCCCAGAATAACATTAATTTGTCAAAGAACAACAAAAAAAAAAAGAATGTGAACTCTGGTTACCACGGTGTAAACACGGAGTGGAAAGCCAAAGTGATTTGAGAGGACTGTTCTCCGCCTCCTCCCATATCCCTCTTGAGAACTGAGTGAAAGATGTGGACACTGTAGGAAAACATACCATTCTGCAGACAGAGATCTAGTGGCCCTTGGTTTTAAAGGGGTCTAAACTTTTGCAAAGTATAGAGTAATAATCTTAGTTTCCAAACATGAGGTCATTTGGTTTGGTTTTGTTTCTGCAGGCAGAAGCATGCTCAGTGGCTGGCTGCCTCTCCTCCTCCTGGCCTCACTGGCAGCCATGGGGATGCTGGTGGCTGGGACCTGTCTCATGTGGAGGCATGGTAAGGGCAATAATGCTGTGCTTTCAAGAAACCTGGGTGAAGAAATAACACTTTGAATGTTTTTAAAGGAGATTCCTCTAGAGGCCATCCCATTTTGGCACTGAACAGGAGTCAGATAGCATTTACTTAATGCCTAGAGCTCTCCTAAAAAGACTGACATAACGACTGGGTCACATCTGCTGAGCTAAAGCAGGGATCGAATCTCCAAACCTGTGGCTATCATCTGTTTTATTTTTACTATTGAGGCATGGACAGGTACTGAAAAGGGCAAAGATAGCTAATAAGGAATGGCACTGTACCTGTGGTAGGTCCTCTCTGCTAGTTCCTATCCTATATAATGAAAGGGAAACATCCAAATTAACCATCCCTCCGCTACGCTCAAGCCACACCCGCAAAGCCACACCTACCAGCCAATCAGGAGCGAGTATGCAAATTAACCCAACTAAGATGGCGACGGCCATGGAGCTGGAGCGAGCAGGAGTCTTGGGTTGCCCCCGGCGATGGAGGAAGCCAAGCCCTCAGCTCCACTCAAGGCTACAAAGTTTCAATTATAGAAGATAAATAAATCCCAGAAAAAAGAAAAAAAGGAGAGGCTGGGAGTTTGGGTTGCTGGGGGGTGTGGCCAGCCTGAAAACGGCCATCAGCCCCTCACCCAGGATGGCCAGGCACCCCAGCGGGACCCCCACCCTGATCCGGGACACCCTTCAGGGCACACCAGCCGGGCCCCACCTGTTCACCAGGCCTTTATCCTATATAATAAAAGGGTAATATGCAGCCGAAACCGGTTTGGCTCAGTGGATAGAGCGTCGGCCTGCGGACTGAAGGGTCCCGGGTTCGATTCCGGTCAAGGGCATGTACCTGGGTTGCAGGCACATCCCCAGTAGGAGATGTGCAGGAGGCAGCTGATCGATGTTTCTCTCTCATCGATGTTTCTAACTCTCTATCTCTGTCCCTTCCTCTCTGTAAAAAAAAAAAAAAGTAATATGCAAATTGACCCTAACAGCAGAACGACTGGGAATGACTGGTCACTATGACACACACTGACCACCAGGGGCAGACGCTTAATGCAGGAGCTGCCCCCTGGTGGTCAGTGCACTCCCACAGGGGGAGCTGTGCTCAGCCACAAGCCAGGCTGACGGCTGCCAGCACAGTGGTGGTGGCGGGAGACTCTTCCGCTTCCTCAGCAGCGCTAAGGATGTCCGACTGCAGCTTAGGCCTGCTCCCTGCTGGCAAGTGGACATCCCCCGAGGGCTCCTGGGCTGCCAGAGGGATGTCTGACTGCCAGCTTAGGCCCGATCCCCCCGGGGAGTGGGCCTAAGCCAGCAGGTGGACATCCCCCGAGGAGTCCCAGACTGCAAGAGGGCACAGGCCGGGCTGAGGGGACCACCCCCCCCCCCCCCCCCCCCCCCCCCCGTTCCCTGTTCGCCATTGGGCGATTGGAGCCTGCTGGCCAGGGAAAGGGACCGAGAGGTGGTCAGTTCATCTCATAGTGACTGGTCGGGCGGTCATCCGAGCGTTCTCCCATTAGAGTCAATTTGCATATTACCCTTTTATTATATAGGATTCCACTCTTATTCACCCCTTAACTGTCCCTACATTTGTCTTTGCCCCAGTCCCACCTCCAGTTCTTGACGGTGAGATAGTGGAAGCAAGTGCAAGAGACTGGCAGGAATCAGGCACTGCCCAACCCTCCCAGGTCTCAGAGCCCCCAGGCTGTGCTCACTGACTGGCTCCCCTTTCAGCAGACAATGCCTTCTCTTCTGCTCAGGCTTCCCTAAGGCCTGGACCACCGGTGGTGACAGCTGTCTGCTTCAGACTGCTCACAGGTTAAGGTCAACTGATCACACTGAACACAAAGAACTCCAAATGTTTTCACTGGTTCTTCAGGTAAAGGGAATTGTTAGCAGTAATTGTAGCAGTTAGCCTGCTTATCTGTACAACACATGCTAACAACTCTATACCCAAGTCATTCCTATTGGCCGTATCAAAGAAACAAAATTCCCTTTTCTGCTCTTGTTCTGTTTTGGTCAGATGACGACTGTTTTCTTTTCCTTGCCCTAGAGCATGCTGGGTAACAAAAGCCAGCCAGCCCAGCCTTAAACCTTTGCCTTGACAAATCTAGACCTGAATCTGCCCTCATCATTTTTGTAATCTAACAGAAAATTAAAAAAATAAAACTTGTTCCTATTTGAAATTCCAAGAGTCACATCATGTGCTCGCTGTTCTAGCCAAGAGGGAAAATGCCATGACCACACCGTTTTCACAATCCAGGCTCCCAAGTCACACACCCACTCCTCAGGGACGCAGGAGACTGTCTCATGTCACTTAGAAGTCAACTTCAAGGAAGAGCTTCACCACTGGACAACTGCTCAACCACTCACATCACCGTGGAGTTCCTGAGACCCTGAATGGGGCAGGAGACCTTAGCGCATTTATTCTCAAACGTCTTGACTGCAGAAGCAGCTTATAATTTCACACCAAGGTCATGTTCTCAACACACAAGTTAAAATTCATTTATTTTCGACGAAATTGAAGCACTTAGGGTAATAAATTAAAAATATATATATACATATGTATATATTCTCTAAGAGTCTTTTATACCAAGAGGCTTGTTTGGGGTCTCCAAGAGTGATTTTTCCTGCCCATTTCACCATACGAAGGCAGCTCGCTCTCGTAACATGCGGACACCAAAGCGCTGCCATTCTCGCTGGTAGATCCACAGTTCCTGTGTCGTATCCAAACAAGCCAGCACTGCGCCCCCTTTCCATGAAATCAGCCGAGGATCCATGTCCTAGAGCGACAGATAGGTCAGCACAAGCAGACAAGATGTCCACTCAATCATTTATTTGAATTGGGGGGGGATGACCCCACCCCCCCGCCCCCCCGCTGAGTCAATACCTAATAAGCCAGATTTGCCAGATTTTAAACCTGCATTAAGGACTCATGAACTACAGGCCTCTTTCTGTTTCAACTGATAAAACTTTTTAGTTTGTATGACTAAAGCTACTATTATTCACTCTTATTCCACAAATAGCTCTGAAGACAGAACATATGTAAGGAAATAACTTACTTTGAAATTGGAGTAGAATAAATATATCCCACAATCTCTCCCCCAGGATTAAAATTAAGTTAGAACATTTCCAGGAATTGTCAATGAGATATGATGAAGTATAGGCACAATTTGTTTCTAAATTCCTAGGTTTATACTTCAAGACAGTTCAAGCCTACATGATTCTTAAAGATCACCTGGTCTAGGGACCAGTAGCAGATTCTCAGCATGAAAGATAACACGGGAGTTATTCTGGCTGATGGCATGACACGGGCCAGTCTGCTCCAGGTCCCACTGTCCTACAAAGGCACCCAATCTTGCTAGCTTTGGACAGCACAGCAGGGACTAAAACCCAGGATCCAGTCCCCTCGCCCAGAGCTCCTTTCTCCACATCTGTGACCTGCTGTAAGTAACATTTCCACTTGCCCCAAACCCTCAAGAACTCCCAGACATATGACCATAACTTCCAGGATTTTATCTGTCCGCATACAATAGAATTAGAAATAATCAATGCTGGTTTCATTTACACAGTCCAACTTGTACCATGAACAACATACCTTGGGCCTTGTGATAACTTCCACATTTTCAATAATTCGCCTGAATGAAGGTGGCATTTTGTTGAGAATTCTGTGCTGCAGAAATTCTTGTGCTTTATGAAACATCAAACCACCTCCCACCACCAGGATGGAACTGTACATCTTCTTTTTGGTGTCATCAGATGCTGCAAAGACAGTGATAGCCCTTCCACGCTCATTCTCCATACCCACCCTACCCTAGGGATATCCACCACCACCTCTTGCTTAGTTAGATAATGCAAGAGCCTGCTCAAGGATCTCTCTCCAACCCAACAATGCAGCCAGAGGAACCTTACAAAACACAAAATGAGCATGTTGCTGCCCACACCCTGGTACTCGCACAAAGATCCAAATCTCTGAGGAGGCCTAAAAAGTCCCATGTAGCGTGCACTCTCTTCTCTAGCCTCCTCCTCACACCGTGTCCCAGCCACACTGGCCCTCACACAGGCTTCTTCCTCTGGCTAACCTCCACTCACCGCCCAGATCTCTCTCAAGTGGTTTTTTCCCTGACTCCCCCCCTCCACACCTCCCCTATGGAGTAAAACACCCTTATTAAATCCCTCATTCAGAAGCTCTCAGTCAGTACTATTTAGTTCAATTCTGTTGTACCTGCCACAGTTGTAATTTCACATTTGTGTGATAATTTGCCTTATTTTGGTCTCCTCCAACAAGGCCAGGGACCAATTCCCAACACCCAATAATGCAAGCACAAGGTAGGTGCTCGGTTGTTTTGAATGAGTCACGCTATGCTACACTGCACAACCACCCCTAGCTTCAGCCAGTTCATGTAATGGCTACCTCCCGGCCTCCCGAATGTGCTTACAACAGCAGTCTATGCTATGAAGGATGGCTTTATCCAGGCCTAGGGCTTTCCCTTCAAACAGCGAGATGGCAGTCTTCCTGGACATCAGCGCAGTGAGGGCCTCCTCAGAGTCATTGCCAGCCATCAGACAGTCTCCCTGGGAGGACCCCAAATCCACCTCCTGGGAATGGAGTCTTTCTGGAAGATCCGAAGACTGCCCACGAAGATCCCCTTCAAATCCAATGGGCTTGGATGCAGACTTGCGGTCAGCAGTAGCTTTTGCAGACTTTAAATGAAAAGGACGATCAAGTAGATGGTATGACTAAGAACACTGTCGATGTTTTCCAACTAGACCCCCTCCCCTGCTGCTCCCTCACTATGCACTACTATACACGAGGGCCTGCTGCTGTGGTGCAGACAGGAGATACACCAGAGTATACAACCACCCACCTGAGTGAGAGTGATGACAGAATAGGATGCACTATGACAATTCTAAAGCAGTCTCTGGCAGGGAGGGCGATCTCAGCACCTTACTATTACAGGCTGGATTTTAAAATTGAGATGTCAGTGCAGACTAACTTTTCTCCTTGAACTGAGTTTTTAAGTGGAGTATTTCCGTGGAATTCTTGGGCCAGTGACTGTTATGAAATCCTCATTTTCAGACCTTTTCTAAGCACCTCATGCTCACCTTTGGGGCAGGAATGAGGACTAGAAAATACGGCCCTCTTCTCTTCACCATGAGCTGCCGTTTCATTAGCAGATAACAGCTCTAATTTGTGCCCCTGCATCAGCCATCCTATTACTAGCATCAGCTCTGGACAAAGGAATGCAACTCTTTGCTTATGCCACACAACCCTCATACCTTATAATTAAATAGAGGTGAGATTTTACTGAAAATATTTACTACGGATAAATATTCAAGTCACTCCATTAAATTTACTTTTAAATGTGTGGATTGGTATTCTGAAAAATGGATGAATGCTTGCTGAACCAAAAAAGATCTGCCACCCAGAATTTAAATTTAGACTTCATTTCATCTACAGTTCTAAAACAGGATCAGCTTTAGCACTCTGTCAGATGGCAGTGACTGCACTGATCCATCAATCACGGGCCAACTTCTGCAGGGACAAAACCTCTCCTCTCAGAACCTGCGGACCTGCTCTTGCTTGCTCTGTGTGGCCAGCAGGTAGTGCTCATCATGCGGGTCCTCAGGGTCACCCTGCGACCTGTGCTGCAGAGTCGTCATTTTTTGTCCAACGATTCCAAAGGTTGCTGGATAAAACAAAGCCATTGGAGCCTGTGTGTGGAAGGAAAAGAATAATCAACTGAGATACTGCCTCCTGAAAAAACTGACCCACTACATTTTGTTCTTCCAAAAAAATAAAACTGGCAGATTAGATCCTAGAAGTTAGATTGTGAAGTGTCCTTTTTTGGGAAAAACATTATTTCTTCAGTGCAGACAGGCAGAAAACTCACTTATCATGCAAATTGAATGGGTGACATGACACCACAGGATCTCAAAGCAAATGTTACCTAGAAGAATGGACTCTCTCTTTAAATGACTTAATCACGTAGTGACTAATTAAAAAGATGGTTCTCAGATCTGTTCTAATTTGATTTAGTGAATAATCTACACGAGTTCACATTCTGCCCTCATGAGGTTTCCAGCAAGGGACCGAGCCTGGCTGGCTTTCTTTCTAGCCGTGAAAATATATACCCACGCGTTACCTGGAGCTTTTCATCTCCTAAGCGAAACTGGTAAAGCAGGGCAGGCGAATCTGGATGTCGAATCTGAAACTCATGGTCCTGAAGCCCAGAGATGTCCTGATTCCAGGAAAAGATGCTGTCAGTGAATCAGTAAAAGTGCATGTAAACTCCTCTAATTACAATGGAGCCTCCCTATCATGTTAACCTCACCTATAAAAGGGCTGCCCTACAACTTTCTACCACACCCACTGGAACTTCATAAGAGTTCAATGGTGACTTACTTTCCTTTTAACATTTGTGAGATTGACACAAATGTTAATTGTTTTGTTTTCTTCATTATCGATAAAACACTAATATAATGATCCAAATCAATCAAAAAAACGCTCCCAATAACTGAGGAATGTTACCTAGATTTATATTTCTCAAAAATTTTTATCAGAATTATATTACTTGAAAAGGGGAAAAAAAATCTAAGAGTATAAAAAGGTAGCGAGCCATATACAGCAATGATAAAATGTTGACTGTTCACAATACCAAGAAAGTGCTTCAAAAGGTACCATTTTACTAAGTGTCTGTACCTACATATTACCTGCTACTATTCTTCACACCTAAAGATTCATACTTCATCAGAATGACCACAGAACCTATAGAGAGGCATCTGCTAAACTCTTAAAAAAAACAAGCAGTCTCCAGAGCCTGAGACACAGCTATACAGCTCTGACCCCACCAAAAAATTCACTCCTACAGGCTTCAGCTTCAAGGCTTTATCAGCTTAAGTTGAAAGGGTGGCATGATATTGTTACGTTTTTCCTGAAAGCAAAAATAATCAATTTTGATTTTGTTCCCACCTGATCTAAATGACAGAAAGTTTCCTTTAGGTGCTGCAGAAGAAGGCAATCCATTTTATTTGTTAACTGGCATTCTCTATAAGGGAATCCAGCTCGCTGCATCAGCCAGTAAAAACATCTTGATACGTCAGACCCTCCATATGCCAGACAGAGTCTAGAGTTAAGAGAAAGGGCAGATGGGTAATCTCTCAGTTCAGAAGGTGCAAAGGATTCAAAAACTCCATTAGGCACAGTAAAAGAGCAAGTTTCAAGAAATGTCTGTTGTAGGAATAAATTAAAGAATGAAAGAACAGCCCTAGCTGGTTTGGCTCAGTGGATAGAGCGTCAGCCTGCAGAATGAAGGGTCCCGGGTTCAATTCTGGTTAAGGGCACATGCCCGGGTTGCAGGCTCGATCCTCAGTAGGGGGGTGCAGGAGGCAGCCAGTCAATGATTCTCTTTCATAATTGATGTTTCTCTCTCTCCCTCTCCCTTCTTCTATGAAATAAAAATATATTTTTTAAAAAAAGAATGAAAGAACAGATAAATGGATGGGAGGGAAAAAGGGGACTCTGGAATAAACTAGTGGTATAGCACCTAGAAGCAGTCATGCTATTTGCAAAAACTATCTAAGAAATAGAAAACACACTATTAAGTCCAGCTCATTTCCAACATTCACCGTTTGACAGTTGTTTGCCTATGTGTATTCCCCAGCAAATAAAGTTGACAAACACCGTAAGACAAAGTTATGGGAGAAATCTGTGAGGGTAATATCCACTAACTGAACGTGTCTACAATTTGGAAAGACCATTGCTACGTTATTTTAGTGGTTAGAGACCTGAAATCCAGTGTTCTCTTAATACCTTGAAAACCACTGGCATTAGACAATACAAACAATGGATGAGCCAAACTAAGTCATACTGGGCTTTAGAATGCTTTGTAACTTGAGGTGGGAGGCAACAGATTAACCTTTCTCATAAGCGTCTTGGGACCTCTTCTGTATTTGTTTCTATACTTTGAGATTCAAACTACCTAACGTAAGGGACAAGAATTCATGCTTCCTGGAGAAGCCATCCTGGGAGCACACAATGCTGCAAGGAGCCCACATGAGCACTACCAGAGTGTGCTTGCTTACCTGTGCGGGGCTTGTCTCAGGAAGGACAAGCAGCAAACCTGCTAGTTATTTTATTGACTCTCATATCAGTGATGACACATGAAGGGAACTAACCACCATAAAGTTACTCACTGAACACCATTTATGGCAAGAAAGGCAAATACTCAAAATGCTAGCTAGCTAGAGAACTCAAACCTGAAAACCTATTTTCTCTTACACGACTTGCCTAAATTGGTGTCTCTAGGCCAGACCACAGCAAAAGACACAGAGGTAACCTATACGCTTCCTCTGTGGGACAGCACAGCACACGCTAGAACTTTCAGGAGCTGCTGGTGTGAACTTACACTAGAGAGTCCCAAAGAAAAGGGTAAAATCAGCTGTGTATAGTCTTGCTAGAATTTGCACTTCCTCAATATTGCTGGTTTCCTATGCAAAATCGGAATATATAATTCCTTAAAAATAATTTCTTTCTGACTTGTGGTGCTTTATAGCTGAACAGACTGTGAGGGAAGAAGGATGGGGAATGCCACCTTCCACGTCCCTTACCGAGTATTCCGATGAGAGACCCCATCCTCCACACAGCATACACTTGTCTTCTGGTCCCCAACATCTACAATACACGTGCTGCTTAAACCACTTCCAAAAGTGGCACACACAGACTCCTGATGGACCACAATCCCTAAAACAAAAGGCAGAAGAGCAATGAGCTGGGGAGCAGCAACGCTCCTAAAACAAATCATCAGCTAAAGTCTAGGAACTTCTGGGCAAATATTCAAGCATTGCCGAATCTCTCAAATAAGTACTTCAATAAAGCAGTAAATTGGATTAACTTTGTCAGTGAAAAAGAAAAAGATTCTCATTTCATTCGGCTTCACTGTAGTATCAGACATACCTGAGAAACCCATCTTCATTAGGATCATATTCACCAATTCTTTCACATGCTGCTTATTATAAATATCAGGAATTAACAAGATACACCTATAATACTAAGAAGAACAAAGAAGAAAATATTAAATGGTTAACATTACAGTCAGGTCAAATACATTTCACCACTTGTCTTCAGAGAGGATTCTCTCTAAAGCAGTAACAGTAATGGTTAGAGGCCCAGAATAAAAGCTCAAAAATATCTTTTGGGTTTCATGAAAAAATAATGTTGATTTTTTTTCTTTTTCTTTGAATTATTTAACTACTAGAGGCCCGGTGCACGAAATTCATGCACTCGGCGGGTCCCTCAGCCCGGCCTGTGCCCTCTCACAGTCTGGGGGCCTAAGCCGGCAGTCAGAAATCCTTAGCGCTGCGGCAGAGGCGGGAGAGGCTCCCGCCACCACCACTGCACTCGCCAGCCATGAGCCCGGCTTCTGGCTGAGCGGCACTCCCCCTGTAGGATCACACTGTCCACCAGGGGTCAACTCCTGCATTGAGTGTCTGGCCCCTGGTGGTCTGTGCATGTCATATAGACTGGTTGTTCCGCCATCGGGCCAAAACCGGCTCTCCAACATCCCCCAAGGGGTCCCAGATTGTGAGGGCGCAGGCCTGGCCAAGGGACCCCACCAGTGCACGATTGGGGCCGGGGAGGGACAGAGGTTGGCCAGCCGGGGACAGACTGCAGGAGGGCTCCAGAGCGTGTCTGGCCCGTCTCGCTCAGTCCTGATCGGCCGGACCCCAGCAGGAATCTAACCTACGGGTCGGAGTACCTGCCCCCTGGTGGTCAGTGCACGTCTTAGCGAGCAGTTGAGCAGCCTTGGCATATTATTAGCATATTGCGCTTTGATTGGTTGAACGGACGACCAGACACTTAGCATATTAGGCTTTTATTATAGAGGATTGTGAAATGAAAAATAAGGTAACTCATGTGTCTGAAAAAGGTCCAGAGAGAAGGCATAAACATGAGCAAGCTTGCTGCCTGCAGAGCAGGAGAGACAGACATCAAAGAAACAAACAGAACACGAAAAAGAGGAAGCTTTAAGGGAGATTAGATTCAGTGTAGAAAAGATATCTTCACCTGAAGGCCAAGAATGCTTTTAGGACACTATATTACAAATAACTCAGTAATGGATACTTTAATTGACCAAGAATCTTTTCTTTTTAAACATTTTTTTAGAGAGAGAGGAAGAAGGGAGAGGGATAGAGAGATAATAACATTGATGAGAGAGGAACATCATCGATGGGCTGCCTCCTGCATGCACCCCTACTGGGGATTGAGCCTGCAACCCAGGCGTGTGCCCTAACTGGAAATCAAACCAGTAACCTCTTGGTTCCTCGGTCAACACACAACTGCTGAGCCTTATGAGCCGAACTTTTTAAAAAATATATTTTTATTAATTTTAGAGAGGAAGGGAGAAAAAAAGAGAGACAGAAACTTCAATGATGAGAGAGAATCACTGATTGGCTGCCTTCTGCCCCTACTGGGGATCAAGCCCATGCAACCCAGGCATGTGCCCTAATGGAGAATCAAACAGTGACTTCCTGGTTCATAGGTCGATGCTTAACCACTAAGCCACATCAGTCGGGCAACCAAGAATCTTAAAGACAATCCAAGTAACTGGGAATCTGAGCTCACCTTTAAATCTTTCAATGGAATTTCCAAGTATTTTTGTATTGCATGAGACCATATTACTTCAATATCTGCCAGAACAGCTGTAAGGGAGCCCCCAGGTCCCGGGTGAATATTTAACTGACCTCTTCTAATAGGCCAGTGGATATTGTAACAGTCCAGTGGATTAACATACAAAGCCTAGAAGACAGGGAGATGAACACATTAAAACTCTTCTCTCAGGGTTTTCTGGATTCACGTTCAAAATTCTAAGGCTAGAAATCATCATTAACACTTGCTGAATGTTCTAAGTGTTGAGGGTGGAATATCTATTACTTCAAGAGCCAATGTGACTATCTGGTCCTTAAAGTAGGATTACGGAATGCCAGGGAACTAGAACTGGATGGGAAAGTAAATGAATTTCAGCATTAAGACGAGGTTTTCTTTTTCCATTTCACAGTAAAGAAGTTTCCTACCTCTTCACCAACCAAAAACTCAGGGTGATGAGATGTGTTTGTCCATTTATTTCCAGAACAGTGATCTAAAATTGCAGGTCGCATCTGCTTGTTGTAGGAGCGTGCCTGAAATGAAATTGCATCATTGATTCTCTGAATTTAGGCAAGGGAAAAAAAGGGTGTGTAGTTGAGTCCTCTTTTCTCCTCTCCCTCAGGGACCACATATAGTGGCAAATTTTAATCACAAACCCAAGATATTTGGGGGAATATTGACTGGTAAGAAAAGGATTCTCTTGCCCTTCTCCACAATCTAGATTTTCCCTGTGATTTTTGACACCTACGCTGTGAATCACAGCCAGTCCAAAATTAATACTACACTCTACCTAAAGTTGAATACAAATTTACATATCATACTGACTCATAGCCATTCCTAATTGTATTGGTTTACTGCATTAAAATAACTATTATGGCAAGAATACAGCTTCCCACCAAGGTCTTGGAATTACACACTTAAGACTCTCAGGTAAACTGTATCAACTTGTGACAGGAAATACCACCTTATAAATCATTTGGCTTGCCTAAGCATTTGTGACACTGATTCAGGTATTCCATAGGTGATTAGGAATGGTTTTCCTCCTTTTTAAAGGAAATCCCTTATTGCATTTGCATAATGAAATAGGTAGAGCACATGAACGGCATTATGCTATAATAGCTGTGCTAAAAGAATAAATCTGAAGAGTTGAAACTGAACCTGTTCAGGGGACACAGGAATCCGCCTTGTACCATTTGACATCTTTTTAGACCATATCGCTTGATCCACCATTTTAAGACCATTTTGTCTTTGTTCGTTACTTTCAGGTTTCTGGGGGAAAAAAGAAGGAAAGATGAGTAGTACAAAGGACTTAGTGAAAAGGGAAGGCAAACTAGCAAACTACTAATTTAATGCAACAATGGGAAATGCTCCCTCGTCAACAAGTAGCTTCCCTAATCTGTCATATGTATTAATCTTCGGAATTTAAAGTAATCTTTGTATTATTTATAAATAAAAAATGTCATAAAAGAACCCTCACTATAAACCAACTATTTGCAAAAATCTATAACTTTGAGTAACTTTGGGTTGATAAAAAAATTTCATACTACTAATGAGAGCACAGCTATTTTTACATTTACAAAGTATTTCAGACTCATATAATTATATCATTTTCATGTTTAGAATTTGTAACAATGTTATACTTCTTCATGTGTTATTTTGCTTAATCAACAAGTGTTCAAATTGCAGTGATACTGTAAAGATTATATTCACACCTTTTTTGTAGAAAATATTATTTTCTTTCAATTTTTTTTCTCTAAAGTCGAATCACTCAATGATATAAGTGATTTTTAGATTCTTATATCATTAAGTTATATGGACTTAAGTAAAGTCTGCTAGTTATGCTAAAAAATGGAGCCCTGGGGGGGATAAAGACACATTTGTAATACCTTAATCAATAAAAAGTTTAAAAAAAAGGAACCCTAAAGCTTATTATCAAAATTACAGAAACCGCAAGTTCCTAAAACTACCCTTGATTTAAAACTTAAAAGTGGATTACAGTGTAATATACACATTTAACACCTATCACAAACTTTTTCTGATAATTACCATTTGTAAAATAGAATAAAATAAATGTTTACTATGAGGGAATACTTTTTGCCTTTAAATTATGATTTGACCTAAGATTGTAGTAAGTGATTTGTGTAGCAATTCAATTTGCTTATGAATTGAAACATGAATTTAAACTCCTCTAAATATCTGGAAGAAAAAATATCTGAATGCATCATTTTAAGTAAGTGGTAAGTCTGTATCTTCCATTAAAAATCACTCTCCTCAATATCCAATTCATCCCAATGGGTTAAAAAAATTGAATTATCATATTTACTTCTTTACAATTTAAAATTGCTAGCTCAGATGAAAAATGATATTTGTAACCCTGAATGATGCTATTCTTTAAAAACATAAAGCTATGAAGGTGTTTATTCAAGATTACTGCATATACTTGAATGTCTAAGGCTTCCCAAGGAAGCAACCTCGGGCTTTCTCTCTAGGTCCTCCATTTCTAACTTACATTTAGTCCTTCCCTTAGGAGCCAGTTGTCTTTGTACAGTGGCTGCCCTTGTTGCTTGTGTCTTCGTGCAATGACATGAGGAATGCTGATAGGAAGTGTGTCTGTGGCTCGACCAATCCTTAAAGTTGTTGAACCCGGATGTATGACAACAATGAAGTTGCTCTGGATTTGCTGCAAACATAACACATAGGAGCGTGACCTTCGTTAAGTAATACACAGGTAACAAGTTAAATAATGTACAGGTAACAGGATAGACTAAAAAGTTAGTTTCCTGTGATGGTCATCAGACTCAAAGGTATCAAAGTAATTTAGGACAGGGAGTTCTTTGAGAAGCATCCAATTATTGCTCTCTACCTGAATACAAACTCATTTTATTGTTTGTGTTCCCAGGATCTAATTCAAAGTACATAGCCCAACAAATATTTGCTTAAATGAACAGAACCATGATTATCCAGTGCAAATTAACCTACTGGGCATTTCTGCGCCAGGCACTGTGGGTACAATGGTGACCAAAACAAAGTCCTCCAAATCAGAGAGCTTTCCATGTACTAGGGAAGATAGTTAAACAAGGAATAAGAGTAGGAATACTCTGATTAGTGAAATGCAGGGTTCCCTACATCTGAATCACCTAAAGATGCTTGTAAAAAAGACTGACCCCAAGCTTTCACTACAAATTTTGCAAATCAGAATCTCCAGGGAGAGCCCAGGAATCTGCAATTAAAGCTCCTGAAGTGATCAGTATGACCACTCACGTTTAAACTATTGGCTGAACAGGTGAGGGAGAAATTAATGTAAGGGTAGAATTACTCTTTTGTAATACTGGAAAGTTTTACACATCAACTACTTCTTAGTGTGTGCATAAACTGTGCTTTGGCTACTGTTTTTGAAAAAACTTACCCTTGTCGATTCTGTGCTATTTACCTACTCTGGCAAGAGTCTGGGGTTGCAAAGCCAGAGCTCACACTTAATCCTCTTAAGTCAGAAAACTTTGCTGCATTTCACAATCCATTCTTGGGAGATGACGAACAAGGACAATGTGGTACGAATCAGGACAGTGGACGACTGTAAACTTTACTTTGAGATAACTGTTTTAGACCCGAAATTCCAAGGGGGCAGAATATCATCTGCATCTCTTGGGGAAACTTTACCATGCAAACCTGTTGAGGGGGACTCAGTTTCAGCAGCACGTGGGTGAAGGAAAAAGGGACTCTGACAATCCTTGAAAACAGGATCCCTCTGTTAAGAACCACCACCCAGCCTGACTCCTTAGCTAGCACCTACTCTGCCCTGCCCTTGAAGCAACAGTTGTATGTTCTTGGTATGTTTCCATTTAAAACATTTCTATACCTTGCCAGTAAAGTCCAGACCTCCCTGATCAAGACCCTGCCTACTTCTCTAGCCTTACTCTAGTCTAGAACCACTTCGTGTTGGTCAGTATATCCCACATACCATTTCATGGATATTATTGTTTAAGATGAGATAGACTTAAAAATACAGGTGCCACAGAGGACATGGAAAAACCAAAGGGTGTGCCCAGCCGGTTTGATTCAGTGGATAGAGCGCCCGCCTACGGACTGAAGGGTCCTGGGTTCGATTCTGATCAAGGGCACAGACCTGGGTTGCAGGCTGAATCCCCAGCAGGAGGCAGCTGATTAATGATTCTCTCATCATTGATGTTTCTCTCTCCTTCTCCCTTCCTCTCTGAAATCAATAAATATATGTACTTAAAAAACAAACAAACAGAGGGTGTTATACAGCTGACGGAAGGTCAGGAAATGTTGCTACAGTGGTTCAGGACCCAGGCTCTGGATTCAAAGACCTGGCTTCCAATTCAGACCGTGCCGCTTCTTTGGTCTGCACGAAGTTTCTACCTCACAGAGTAACTGTGAAGACTAAATGAGTTAATGATCACAACGCTCAGCTAGCTCCTCCAGGTTCTCCACTGCCTTCAGAAACAGCCGCCATACCTGTGGCTTGTATGACCCTCGTGATAGGGCCCCTGCTAATATCTCCATTCTCATATCTCGCTCCCTTTTCTCCCTCATTTCCAGACATCCGCATCTCCAACGCTTCATATCCTCTCAGCTCAGGTCTCTTCCAGGCTATTCCCTCCCTCCCTGAGATTTCCACCCCCACCCCACCCAGCTAACTCTGATCCTCCTTCCGATCTTGATCCAGATGTCACCTCCTTTGAAGAAACCATTGACCATCAGGGCTGGAGGAGGTACCTGCTGTGTGCCCAACACTTCCTCATGGTCCTCAGCACCAGCCCACCTCACACCATGCTCAGATCCC